GGTAGTGCTACATCAGGGTCGTGAACACGACCCAGTCCAAAGCCCCCTCAAGACTGTTGCCTGAAAGTATGCTCTCAGTTTCAAACCTAGAACCTCTTACAGCGTCTTTTTTTCACAACCATAGTACCATTTGATGATCAAATGGTACTGGAGTTGCAAAGTAGACTCACATATAGGAAGGTTCTGAGTGTGAACATCGCAAACCACCTTCAGGTGATGGACTTGAGGGTGGCCGGAATGTCAGCTTAACGATGCCGGTGTAACACTGTCTAAGGAGATGAGAATATCTTATTGGTTGAGAGATCGTGACAAAGAAACTATTGTCTCAAGGAACATTGAAGTTTTATTACGTTTAATCTTCATCTTTGAATCTGAAGGAGCGTAACTCCCTTCCATCCTCTGAATTCACCGCCATCCTGTACGGCTGATGCAATGAACAAGTTCAGAATACGACTCTGAAGCCTTCTTTTGGTTTCATATAATTTCCATTACATTCAAATCACTAAAATAATTGCAAACAAGAAGCTTGTGAAATTGACACATACCCTTCGATTTCAAGGAACTGGCTCCTCAGATTGTCTGCAACATCAATGGAATCCAATACCCTCCAGCCGTTCTTGAAAAGGGTAAGTGAGGTTCCACCAGTTCTAAGTGACTCTGCTTGCTCAAGAACCACCGACCCAATTCCTAGCCTGGTGTGTTTAATCTTTTAACATCAAAAATTCAAAATCATAACTTAAATGCTGAAATATGAGAGGAAAGTTCATAGCTTTTTGTTTTCTTTAGACCTGTGAAGGGACACTGCAGTGGCGAGGCCGGCAATCCCAGCTCCGACGATGACAATATACTCCTTTCGAACATCAGCTGAAGCTTTTATGATAACCGAGCGGATGGTTTTGGTTCTGGGTTGAGCTCGATACCGACTTCTCTGCAAAACTCCTCTACCTTGAGAATTGTACAAAGAAGGTAGTGGCATAGGAGAATTGGGATGCATATGGGAAGAGGCCATTGCCATGGTTATGCCGTGTGAAGGGTTCAAAGTTTATGATGGGTTTGAGATTAGAGAAAACCCCATAATTTTAACACTATGGGTGCGTTTGGTTCACGGAATGTAAGATTACCAGTGGGAATAAAAGATTATCAGGGAATAGGATTACTAGGAATGTTACATTACTGTGTTTGATTGGTTTGACAGGAATGTAAGATTACCGTATTTGGTTGAAGGAATAAAAGATTACTGGAATGTATATTTTACCAAATTAACCTTGTTCTATATTATTTAAGGTGTGAAATTCTAATTATTTAAATAAAAATTATTTATATAAAAATTCATCGATAATATATTTAAATAAAAATTATTTATATAAAAAATAATCGATAATATATTATTTTATTATTTAAATATATCATGTATAATTTTAATTAATATTAAGTTTTACATAATTTATTTGAAAAATATATTAAAATTTTACTTCAACATAATTTGTATAAAAAATATATCATGTTTAATTTAGGGATTTTTAACTTTCACTATGATATTGAATCGACCATGACGATGATTCCGTTGGGTAATATTTTCCACACAAAATAGCTTCCAAATTTCCCTGCATTGGTGCCTTTAAATTTATTTGAAGTGAATGTTATAAATATTATACAAATTGGAATGTTATTTACGTGCTAGGTCATGCATGCATAATGGAATGAATTTGTGTATACACTATACAATGATTTCGAAAAAAAGAATAAGTAGTAGAACCATAAAGAATTCAGACTTGAAAGAACATACTGGGCATAAGGTCAGCATAAGGTTTTGATTCACCTTTCATGGTGTTTACAAGAGGCAATTCTAACATCTGGTGCTTCCTCTCCGGTTTATTTGAAGGCCATTAATGCGGTGTATATTTCATCGGTTTTTTTGAGGTACATAATTGAGAATTCACAGAGTGACAACATGAAGAAGTTATGCTTGTCTCTTCATGAAAATGAATCGGTTCCTAAGGATTTCATGACTGGTAAATCTGTAACTATTTGGCTCTTCATCCTTATCTGTTCGTGAGTTTTGAAATTGAAGTTTGTAAATGAGTATCTTGACAAGTCATTATTTACTGATGAATCGCGTCATGACTTGATTTTTATTTATAATGTCTAGATCAAAAGATTGAGAATCTTGTAATGCATAATGTGCTTACCTTCATTGGTACAATAGATGTAAGGTACACCAAGGCTTAATAATGCATTTTTTTACATTGGCATTTCTGCTTAATTTTCTCCTAATATTACATTATTTTCCTCGCAAATCCTACGACATCCCTTTTACACCAGGAGTTGCTCAACTTCATGCTTGTTGCGATGTCAACTCAACTTCTTTCTAGTCCAACCCCAAGGCTAAAAGATATAAACCCTTTTCTTGATGCTGCAATGTCTCAGGTTATAAGTTAAGACCTTAGCATGATATTTTGCTCCAAAAATTTCAAATTTACTTACTCATTCTTTGGTTAGCATGAAAGTTTCTGGTTAATTTGGTAGTTCGCAGATTGCTTCTCAGTTACATAATGCGACCTCGTCTTCCATCTAGTAGTGTTGCTTATTATATTTTTTCTGAAGAAAGTCAACTGGGTGTTCTACAAAGAGTTGGTTCTGCTGTTGGTATGGTCTTTTACTTGATACTCTTATTAATACTGAGCCCAGTACCACATACAACTTTTGTATAGTGTATACTCTTATTAATACTGATGCATAAGGTCAACATCAAGGTTCTATCCAAGAGTAAAGGTTCACTTCCTATCCCATTTATAGGTCAACCATAACAGGATAACCCCAAGAGCCTTACATATTAGAACTACTGCAAAACCAATCGAATGCACATTTAATATAACCCACAATTAATTCAGAATCCATTATTACAAAATTGTTCTTGGAATTAGTTTCAACCTAAATAGAGAGAAAATCTAAAAACCCTAACGAACCCTCATAGTTAACAAAAATCCATATGAACCCATTAAACTACACCAAACTGATTAAACAACATAATTGCACAATACCCTAACTTCTTATAATTCAATAAAGAAAGAAAATACATCAGGCTTGGGATTATTCTAGGAAAACAAAAATTCTGCAACAATGCAATTAACCAAACATATTGAATGCATAAAACAATATCAACATTTGGCGAAAAGAACCCAAATTTTAGAACTGAAAAACATAATGGGAGAAAAGATTAAAAAACTTACAATTTGTTCATATAGACGAGGATCAACATCCATAATCGGGAAGATTACGGGAACCGAAGCTTTGGGGTTTTGGTGTTTAACAGTAAATAGGTAAGTAAAGAGGATGGGCATTTTCGTGGAATATATCAATCCCCATAGTGACAGAGATCGTCGCAGCGTGGAACTCACTTTGTTTTAGTTTTTTTTCATCCCCCTAAAGGACTCAAACACAACAGTAAAATCCGGAAGCTCCAAGGTACATCGATAAAGGCAAGGCCCCTTCTGAAGGATTGCCAATCCTGGGCATCCATTTTGAGTAGGTTCCTCTACTTCCTCTACTGAATAAGAAGCTTTACTCCCAAACTTTTGGTGTATAATAGCCTTTTGCGTAAGCGTTGGCTTTCTTATTGCATGTGCCAACGATCCTCCAGTTTCCATGTGACTTCCAGGTGTTTGAATAAACCAAACTGGAAAACAAAAACTAAAAAAGTTCAGCAAACTATGACTTATGCAAAATAAATGGTAAGAACAACAACTGAATCAAACTTGCATTTCACCAATTGCACAAACTAAACCCTAAATCATAGAATAAAAAATCAAAAAGAAAATGAGTACCCTAACCATATTCTATAAAATCAACCAATAAAATCATAGAAAATGAAAATATAGAAATGAAGAAAGACCCGCTAATTTCTTGAATGGTGGAAGATTGAAATCTATTGTGTTATGCATATGAAATTAATTCCAACTCCAGAATCAATGTTCAGCAATTGCCAAACACAGAGATGAGAAGAACAGAAAAACAGAGATGAGAATAACAAAAAAATTTGAATAGAAAAAGACAGGGAAGTGAGAAGGACGAAAGTCCTTATAAGGAACAAGTTGGGGAAAGCAAAATAAATGAAAGGGAGTGGAGAAAAAGTCTTACAAGGAGAATCTCAATGGGAAAACAACGATTTTTTCGCAGGCAAGCTCACGGGAGAAGAAGATATCGCAGAGGCAAATTCACGGGGAAAAGAATAGTATTTTAGCCCTTAAGCCCGGTAATAAAATTATACCTAAGACACATATGGGAATAACATTCTCGGAATAAACCCACAAAATTTTACTGTTAGTATTATAATATTACCCTCACTTGGGAATCTTGTATATCCAAACATGGGTATATTAATCAGGAAAAAAATATTCCTGGGTGGAATAATAAAATTCTTGATCCAAATGGCCCCAAATGTCATTGGGAATATGTGGCAGAGATGAAATGGTGGTTGTTGGTTCATGTTGAGCCAGATTTTAGCTGGGAAAGAATATTAGATGATAAAGACAATTTTCTCTAATCGTAAGTCTAACTCGAGCTCCAAAATTGCCTATGAATTTAGGGATCATAATTCAATTCAAAAGAGATAAATTTTGATAGGACTCGATCGGATAAGATCAATTTTCTTTTAAAAGGTTTCAGGTCCAGGGAGGTGGAGGATGAGAAATTTTTGACCCGACTTGGATAATAGTATTACTCTTTTTATATAAATTTATAGATAATTACTATAATAGTTCCTCTTTTTATAATACTTTTAAATTAGGTCCATATTTTATGCCAATTCAAATTGAGTTTATACCTCAAAATGTCGGGTTAGATCAAAATTGAGTAGAAAAATATTCCATTCAAGTCGAGTTTGAATGAAAAAAATATATTTTTCAGATCGAAGATAACAAAAAAATCCTACCCACTCCAACTTATTACCATCTCTATAAAGTTGCTGGTTTAGTGATAAGATTTTACGAGTCAATCGAACTAATCAAATTGGTAGGTAACAGAAACTGAGTCGGTGTGAACTTGCAACTTCAATACCTAATTGTATGGATTTATGCTTTCTGGTTTTCACTTCCCATCCCTTACAATCACTCCACCTCGACCCACCAAGTAAACAAATACCCACAGCCCAGATTTCCAGCCCTTTCAAAAGGAGCAGCAGGATGAACATGAAAAAGATACCCATCTGCGCAAGTGATTTTCCTATGCGAATCTTTAATGCTCAAAGAGATTTGAACGATGGAGAGTAGTATCGATCGTTGTGACAATAAATCGGTGGCATCAACCAATCAAAGAAAAGGCTTTATGGAATCAGATTACAGAATCCATCAACTCTGAAAGTGGGTCAAGTATTCATTGGCTTTGGAATTGGTTGTGGTATTGGCGTGGGTCGCCCGTTAAATCTAGGTACTGCTCATAAGTCTCAACTTTCTTTACATATACATGGATTCATTGACTTTTTGTGAAGATGAACTGAGGTGTTCTGTTTTCTCCCAAGAATGATGACAATTTTTCCATTTTTCTTCCCGTGGAAACTTGTATCTGTTTTGGCATCACTTTCTTTTGTTTTGTTTCCTTAAGCATATTGGCTATGTTTTGTGATGGGAAAAATGTGTGCAAGTGGATGAATAGTAGCTTTTGTATGGATGTTTATAGTTTTTGAAATGGTGTAATCATTGATTTATAGATTGTTAAAGTTTGAACATTTTTGTCAGAGTGGTTTTAGCATTACCATTTGTTAGTCCAAGTTTTTAATTTAAATCCTAGGCATTATTACCATTTGGTATCACTTTCGTATTGTGATGGTGTTTTGCACAATATATACTGAGACTCCGATACGAAAAACAAAACATCTTAAAGTTGCCTACAGTGAATGGATTCTAGGGTTAGCCATTTCAGGATCTCCGTGGAAGTGTATGCCGTCAAGGAATTCATAATTGTTGGACGTTAAATTTGCTAAATAGCAATCCTGTTCCATGCCCTTAGCTGCTTTTGTTTTATCCTCTGTGTGTTGCTATATATTCTTTAAAAAATATGCTCTGTGAGTTAGCCTTTTTGGTTAATACCTATAGATTCATACAAGTTCTGGAATTTCTATTTACGGCCATCAATAATATTTCATCACATAGTTGCATCTAGGATCAAGAATGAATGAGTATTCTTTCACTGATCTTGTGTTAACTATGGTATATAATCAGGTGCGATACCTATGCTGGGCCAAGTTATGACTGCAACTAGAGGAGCAACGAATGCATTTTCTGGTGTTAGCAGACATGTAAACGGTGTTGTAAGTTACATACACAACTTTATGTTCGTCATTGACATTGATTTTGCTTGTTTGATATTTCCCGATCTGCTTATGTAGTCTTTCTCATGTTTTTTAGTTATTGAAATTGGGAGCTAAGAACACTCAAGCTGGGATTGGATGTGGAGTTGGTCTCGGCCATGGTTTTGGTGTTGGTCTGCAATCATGTTGAGAAGAAATAGCCGAGTACTTATTATAATATTGATTATAATGTATCATGGTATTGACAGTATGTGTGATTAATATTCCAAGATTATAGGAATTGCTGATTATTTCTCTCAAATAGTTAATTCAATTTATTCTTTTGTATGAAAGTTCTATGTGATAAGCCTCTACAAAATGAGTATAGTCATCGAACCAGCTCTGCTTTCAATCTTTAAACCGACATTGATATCTTTATCCCTATGCTACAAATAATTCGATACTCATTGTCAATCATATGAACTAGAAATGCGTTTTTTATAGCAAAAGTTGTTTGCATTATAGGACTTGCTGTGAAGCCCAGGGTGGTGCATCAAATTCAATGTTGTATTATGGTATGTATAATTTTTTATATAGTATTTGTTTCTTTATTGTGATTTTTCTTAAGTGTATCTAAACTTATAATCTGAAACTTTTAGGAAACAATGGCAACATTGATGATGAAGTTTGGAATGGCTTCCAATTCACCCTTCAATGAAAATGCTTTACCCGTACCCATTCAAAGTGGTTTGACAGCAACAAATGAACCCTCCCAAAACCTATTTGGTCAAGCAGATCCTAAATCTCAAGGCTTGCCCGGACCTGGAAATATGAGCAGAGGTTTGGCTTATTAACAAGAATCATCAAAATCTCCCATTGAAACATCCTTTGGAACTCGAAGAGAAAAGATTCTTAAATAGTTTTCTGCAAAATCCGGTTTTGAAGGAAGATGAAACTAGCCTAAACGAACTGGTATGCAAAGCTATGCTTATGCTTATGCATGTGGAATTTCATTTCTATAAAATCTTATAAAGGTGTATGGGTTAAATATGTGCAATATTATGCTTGAGATTCGCTCATTTGTTTTTAAGAGAAAATATCATTTCACTTCGGCAATTGAAAAGAGTAGCTGGGAATGGAAGGCTAACAAAAGAATATTCTTTAACATACAACAAGCAGTTGCATTTGTTTCGGTTTTGATTATCATTTATCGCAGTAAGCAGAAGCAATTATTACCTTGGGTTTGGTTGTTTTGTAGGTCGGGCGGTTGCGAACTGAAAACAACATGCTTCTACTGGTAATTCCCCTTTTTTTTTCGACCTTTGGTAAGTTCAGAGATTATTTAGCAGAAAAACACAATTATGCATGTTGGACCTTAGCAGTAGCCATTTGTCAAAAGGATTTATGCATGGCAGATGTTAGGTTTCAATGCGCGTATGGTTCATGTTTGTATTCATCTTGTTTAGAAATGCGTTTGTACTGAAATTTCTACTTTCATTCAGGTGTTGAAACATCAGCAAATCATTGAAGAAATTATGAAGGAGAATCGTAAGCTTCATCGGATACTCATGGAAGTGTCAAAAATGAAGTCTGGGAAGAATTATACTTTATTCATCATACTTTCAATTAAGGTCCTTTATATAAACAATTTCCTGTAACTAACTCAATAACTAATAACTAACAATCTAACAGAATGTGTAACAATACTTAAAAACAGTTAACACTTTCTACACTCCCCCTCAAGTTGGTGGTTGTAAAGAGGTCTTTAAATCCCAACTTGGAAACTAGATATTCATGTTGAAGTACACCCAAGGCTTTAGTCATCAAATCTGCTTGTTGTTCTCCTGTCTTGATGTGTTCTGTTTGTATCAAGCCTTCTTGAATCTTCTCTCTGACAAAGTGACAGTCTATCTCAATGTGTTTGGTTCTCTCATGGAAAACTGGATTAGCTGCTATTTGTAAGGCTGCTTTATTATCACACATTAGCTTAGCTTGTGCTATGTTTTTCAACCCCAATTCTCCCAACAAACCCTTCAGCCAAACTATTTCTGCAGCCGTCCCTGCCATGCTTCTATATTCAGCTTCTGCAGAGGAGCGTGCAACAGTGTGTTGCTTCTTGGATTTTCAAGAAATTGGAGACATTCCAAGCTTAATGCAAAAACCAGTTATAGATCTTTTAGTCATAGGACAGGCAGCCCAGTCAGAGTCACAATAGGCAATCAATCTGCACTCACTTGTAGCACTTAATAAAATCCCTTGTCCTGGATTTTTCTTGATGTATTTTACCACTCTCATTGCAGCTTCAAGATGTGATTGTTTTGGTTTATGCATAAACTGACTGAGGAAATGAACAGCATAGACAATGTCTGGCCTTGTGTGAGTCAGATATATTAGTCTACCTATAAGTCTCTGAAAAACAGTTTTGTCTTGTAACAATTGTTCATTACTACAAATTGCTTCATCATACTCAAATGTGGTAAACTTCTTGTTCTGCTCTAGAGGAGTCAAGGCTGGTTTAGCTCCCCCTACTCCAGTTTCTTCAATCAACTCTAAAGCATACTTCATTTGATTCAACACAATCCCTGCTTTTGACCTTAAAACTTCTAATCCTAGAAAGTATTTCATCTCTCCAAGATCCTTCATTTTGAAGTTCTTATTCAAGACATGCTTTAGTTCTGCTATCAATACTTCATTACTACCAGTAATTAAAAGATCATCAACATACACCAATAAAACAAATATATCACTACCTTGCTGTTTTGTGAACATTGAGTAATCATATTTGCTCTGCATGTAACCAGCCATAAGCAATGCTTCTGTTAGCTTCAAATTCCATTGCCTAGAGGCTTGTTTTAGTCCATAAAGTGATTTGTGCAGCCTACACACCTTAGACTCCCCCTGGCTGCAAAAACCATCAGGTAGTGTCATATAGACTTCCTCAACCAGGTCACCTTGCAAGAACGCATTGTATACATCCATTTGGTAAAGAGGCCAAGAAAAAATTGATGCAACAACAAGGATAGTTCGAACAGTGACCAGTTTAGCAACTGGGGAGAAGGTATCCACAAAGTCAACTCCTTCTCTTTGATTGAACCCTTTAGCAACAAGGCGAGCTTTGAAACGTTCAACATCACCATTAGCCTTGTACTTGATTCGGTAAACCCACTTTCACCATATTGGAATTTTCCCTGAAGGCAGGGTGACTATAGACCAAGTGTTGTTTGACTACAAAGCATCAATCTCTTCCTTAATGGCTTGGATCCAAATAGGGTTAGTAATGACTTCAGAATATGTTTTTGGTTCACTTAAATGAGAGGTGGAAGATAAGAAAACTTGAGTTTTAGAGGGTAAGTGAGAATAAGAAATGAAATTGGAAACATGATACTTACTTGGAAGAGATGAAGATTGGTAGGAGAGAACATAGTCATGTAGCCAATTAGGAGGTTTGACAACCCTAGTGGATCTTCTTTGAGGTGGACACTGATTTTCAGGTGGAGCAAGGAAACTAGAACATGGGCTTGATGGGTGAATTGGTGAACCAGTTGAAACTTGAGTTGATGCAGAAGAAGAAGAAGACAGATTAGGTAAAACTAAATTTATTGGATTAGATGAGGTAGAAATTCCAAGGGTAAGAAAATCAGAATCAACAACGGGAGGTTGAGCAGGGAAAAAAGGAGAAGGCTTGTTTAATGGAAATGAGAAGGGAAATACAGTTTCATGAAAGACCACATCACGATTGACAAAAAAGGATATTGCATGAAGATCGAAAAGGAGATAGCCCTTTTGGGTTGATGAATATCCCATAAAAACAGAAGGAGAAGCCTTTGGAGAAAATTTGTCTTTATAGTTAACTTTGGTTGCATAACAGAGACAACCAAACACTCTCATATGAGAAAGATTAGGTGACTTGTGATAAAAGATTTCAAACGAACTTTTCCAGTTTAGAATGGCATTAGGAAGCCTATTAATGATATAATAGACAGTTAGAACACACTCACCCCAAAATTTAATGGGCACATGAGAATGAAAACGAAGAGCACAGGCTATCTCTAAAAGATGTTTGTGTTTGCGTTTAACAACCCCATTTTGTTAGGGTGTATGAACACAAGAGCTTTGGTGAATAATGCTAAGTGAAGAGAAAAGCTCAGAACAATGATCACTAAAAAACTCACCACCATTATCACTACGAATATACTTAACTGAAGCAAAATGATGATTTTGAACAAGCGCAAAGAATTGTTTAAAAAACAAAAGAGAATCACTCTTAAGTCTCAACAGGTAAACCCAAGATAGCCTAGTATGATCATCTACAATTGTTAAAAATGATCTATGACCACTATGTGTTGAGATTCTATAAGGGCCCCATAAGTCAACATGAATCAAATCAAAAGGTTTAAGTGATTTAGATGAGCTAATAGGAAAAGGCAATCTCGACTGTTTTGCAAGAGGACAGGTAGAACATTGTTTAACATTGTTTTCATTCAAAGAAAGAGAACTCAAAAAAGGAGTCTTATGCATTTTGACAGAAGTGGCATGCCTTAAACGTGCATGCCAAAGCATTGTATTATTAGAAGAAGAAACAGTCATACAACTAGAATCAACCTTCATTTTGATGGTGACAAATCAAAACTAAAATGTGTGGATGACAAACCAGAAACAAGGTCCTTGGAATTAAACATATAGAGACTATGAGCCTGCCTACCAATCCCCCTCATCTTCCCAGTGAAGAGATCCTGCAAAACACAAAAACGAGGGTAAAAAATGATACTGCAATTGAGGTATTTGGTTAATTTTGACACTGATAGTAGATTATGATTGAAATCAGGAACATATAGAACATTTCGAATGACATCAGTTGAGTTAAAATGAAAGTTACCAGTATGGGTAATGGGAAATGTTTTACCAGTTGGCAAATGGACAGAACTAGGCTTACAAGAATTAAGAGACTGTAAATAATGGATATCAGACACCATATGGTCAGTAGCCCCTGTATCAAGGATCCAACAAAGTGAATTATCAGAAGCAGGTAAGCATTTAGAAGTAATACATGTGAGATTGACAACAACATCAATCGATGGAGGTTTATTTAAGAGCTCAAGTATTTGGTGATACTGAGCTGTTGTGAAGACTGGAGCAGACTGAACTGTACTGAAACCACCAGATTATGAGTCATGATCAGATTAAGGTAACGAGAGATTGGTAGCAAGAGCTGCCTGAGGATTCTTCTTTTTTGTGAACTTGAAATCAGGAGGAAACCCGATTAAGCGATAACAGTTGTCACGTTTGTGGCCTTTGACTTTGCAAAAGTCACAAACACCAGTGAACCGCCTTCGACCAGAGTTAGCAGACGTATTGGAGTACATAGCCGTGACTCCCGAAACAAGAGACAACTGAGCTTGTTGTGCCTCTTCTTGCACAATCATAGAATATGCTTGATTCACGCTTGACAGAGGCTGCATAATAAGGACTTGACTGCGAATAGTGGAGTAAGTATCATTAAGACCCATAAGGAATTGCAACAGCTTCTGCTGTGCAATATGCTTGGAATTTTGTTGAGAAACTTTGCAATTACAGGCCGAAAGAGGGACTAGGGCATGATATTCATCCCACAAAAGTTTAATCGTGTAAAGTAAGCTGAAACAGTAGAATCACCTTGGCTTAAAGTGGCAATTTCACGATGCAAGAAGAAAATTCTGGATCCATCTACCTTGTCAAAACGTTCTTTCAAATCTGTCCAGACGTGAGCAGCGCTTGAAGAAAACACGATTCCAGCCGAGAGATCACTGCTGACCGTGTTGAGAATCCAGGAAAAGACGAACGCATTACAGCGTTCCCACTGAGGGTGCAAGAACTGATCGTAGTCCTCTTTGCAGCAAGTGCCATCAACAAAACCTAATTTATTTTTTGCCAGCAACGCAATTCTCATAGAGCGGCTCCATAAGTTGTAACTGTCGATGCCAACCAGGCGATGAGAAATGAGAACGCCTCCAGGTGTGTCAGACGGATGTAGAAATAAGGGATGGCTGAAATCAAGAATGGCGGTGGTTTCAGAGGTATTCATCTCGTCAAGGGAAATCGCAGAGAGCAAAACCTAATCGAGAGGAGAGGATTGTGGGTGGAAGGAAAAACACGGGAAGAGTGAGGACGACCTAAGAATGGTCTGGGCTAAAATGATACCATGTCAAAAATGAAGTCTGGGCAGAATTATACTTTATTCCTCATACTTTTAATTACAACAAATAGGTCCTTTATATAAACAATTTCCTGTAACTAACTCAATAACTAATATCTAACAAACTAACAAAATGTGTAACAATACTTAAAAACAGTTAACACTTTCTACAAGAAGACCTGAAAATACCACCCAGTAAGTTTTAAACTTGAGTCGAGTAAAATGAAACCTCCATGTTCAGAATGCTTCTATTGCAGGAGGAAACAAAGAGAAAATAGATGATGATTATCTGTCTCGTGGTTTCATTTGGATGTGTTCTGCCCACCGGAACGAACCTCTAGACTCTTAAGCTGCACAACCACCCCACCTATTACTAATCACAATTCGATTTTCTATATACTATTCAATTGTAGGCCTACTACAAATTCTTCCTTTTCTATATAGAAATCACAATAGACATGACATAAATGTTTGTAAAAGATGTT